TACCTGCTTGCAAATGACGTGTGATGCTCTTGTCTAGCTCACTCCACACCTGTGAGGAAGAGAAACAAAAGTCATCTTTTCAAAAAACTGTGAACCAGACGGGCAACGGCATTAGACTTTGGGATTGCTTGCCATGTAGTAACAGCATTTTGATTGGTTCTCATATACTGGACACCAGTGACGAGTCACTAGAGAAAACATATCCAAATAAATCTCATGAAACTTGACCAGAGATCTGTGAAAGAGGCATCTAAGCTTTCCCCGATGTGGCAAAAGAGAGAAAACAAATTACAACACCCCGATCAATAATTTGTAGCCTTGACATGTTAAACAGTTCTGAGCAGCTTCCGCAACATCTTTGCCCAAGTTAATATTTTGCCAAAGTAAAGATTTTCCGAAATACTGCACAACCATCACCCAAAAGACTGTTTTATTCAAAACCTGAACTTCCTAACACTACAAAAAAAATTCACAGAAGGTTTCCCTTGACAACAACGACGCCATCAGAATTTCGCAGCCTATTTGGAACAGTTCCTGAAGAAAAAAGTAAATGTAACATCATGAAGAATCAGTGAAATCAGTGTTTTTGGTTCACAAGCATTTAAAGGAGGTTTCAAGAGCTCAAAACTGACCTTCTCTGTGATGGAGTCCATCTGAGGGCTCTGGGCTTGCTTCTTGGGCAGGTGTCTGGGAGATAAATCCAGGCTCCCGTCCAGCATTTGTCTATTCCGTTGCTTCTGTAACCTGGACGGAATACGATCATCAGAATGTGGCATGGTCAAAAGCAACAAGATTTAGCAACATGGTGGAGTGAAATCGGTTTCTCAGCTGTTGTGCATGCCATTGCTAGCTGCAATCGGAAAGTCTTGATGCTAACAATGCAAACAGTGGGCAACTATGACCAGAGTTGGAAAACAGTCAACCACTCAATCACACATCAAAAAGAAGTCGGGTCGTAAGCCTAGTCAGAAGGGATGCCTTTTGTTCTGCAGTTCATTGGAATAGCTTGTGACTTGAACTTGAGAATGAATGACCTGTGATGACTTCCAATGACTGGCATTGACAGTGATGTCAGGAATGAATATAGATGACTGACAAATGTAGCTTCACAGGGGACACAGTCCCAGGAAACTACAAGCTTATGCCTGCCAAAATTCTGGTTAAACATGTACCAAGAAAGAAATGGGCGACAAAGAAATGTGTCAAACAACATTTGTGAACTAAATTGATCATTTAAGTACCAAGACACTGACTCACATGTTTTAAACTAAAACAGGTTCAAAGACCCTACTGCCATATATGTTGAATGGAAATGCACATGGTTTACCTTCTTTGAAAAAATACAATTTTACTACACTTCATGATTCAAACATTTGGGAAAGCATCTCACTGTAACTTCTGCAAGGAAGATGCGGTTTCTTTTCCCTGCAAACAAACCTTTGGCCTACTTCAGAATTGTTTTCGCATGACACCTACGTAAATTTGGCCTGTGTATCCACCAGTTTATCCTGGGCTTTCTCCAGCTGAGTGGTCAACTTGTCCTGCTTCTTCACTGCATCTTGGTATAACTCCTTCAAGACAGAGACAGGGTAGGGTTCATTTAGGTTCAGAGAGCAAAATGCAGAGGTGCTGTCAAATTAGATCTTGCCCAGCGACAACATGGCACTGTTCCCGTCGTGTGAATCCGACTGTCTCAGGGAATTTCAGTCTGTAAAATGTCTTACAAGTCACTACAATTGCTTTGGAATTACCTGATCTTAAACTTCTGACAAACAACAGGAATAAAGGACTTCTTTCCACTAGTTTGCAAACCAATAACTCCCACAGTGTGTAATAAAACTTAATATGTGTTGTGAATTTCCCCTTCTTATTCTGTAATATTTCAACATTTCTTTCTGGTGTACCCAACCTTGAGAACGATGGCAAATAACGGTTGGCTCAGATCTCTGACCCCCCATGTCTTAAACTGTTGGCCTGCTATGAAAGAAAATTAACTTATCAGGATTGTGATTGCAATACCCTACCTTGAATCTAGCAACTTCTACCTCCATGGTTTCTTTCTGTGCGAGCATGTCATGGTAGCTGCTACGTAATCTCCCTATCTCATTCTACAAGACAGAACACCAACATACATTTGTCAGATTAGTTAAAAGAAAATCGCTACATTGCTTGCATTTGGGGTACAAATCCTGCTTTGAAATGTATGGATTTAAACACTCATTGAAGCTATATTGGGGGACTTTTTGTCTCTAGCATTTAAATGCAAAGAGGGAGATCACTATGCCACACTGTTGTTTATGGTTCAGTTCACTTTAATGTTGTTTCTATGTAAGTAGAGCAAGAGTTGTTAAGATAGCAGATACTTTATGAATGTGCATTATATAAAAGGGAGCTTCGGTATTTCAATCTTGGAGTAAAATTGCAATCTTACAAATCTGCCACTGAACAAGTTAACATAAACCTGAATAAATACGCTGGTTGGTTACCGACAAAGCAGACAGTAATTTCCATAATAAGAACAGTAACTTACCTGTGAAACACAACAAAGCACACTTTCGATCCCAAATCATCCATATTTCGACTTATAGGATGACAAGAAATTATTCTGTTTTCATGCGTATACTTACCTTCAAATCATTAATTGTGTTTTCTTGCTCTTTCCTCAGCTCATTCTCGTTGGAGTTTCTTAGCATCTCCAATTTCTCCCGAGCCTGAGACTAAAAAATATAAGAAAATAAAAATGTTTGGAAAAGATGGTTTTTGATTACCATTGGTGTCAGAAATACAATCTTCAATGTTGGGAAATCTTGGACACAAACTGCAGCTGAGTAGTTTTACAAAGAAATAACAAATTTTCAATTTTTTTTTGTTTCTTTTCATATTTACTTTGGCAGCAGCCATTATTTTGAATATACAGACATGTCTCATCCATATTCTTTCAGCAAAATTCCACAAATTACAATAAACACTCCGAATGGCTACAGAAACTTCCACACAGACCTACCTGTTCCTCCAAGTAAGTGTTGACCTGATCTAGTTTCTCGTTCAATTCCATCCTCGCCTACAGAATAAAAAAGTAAAGCTTCAATAAATTTTTTAGTCTCAAATAAGAAGACGTCACTTCACAAAGTAAAATGCAATTCCCTTCCCTCTGATCAAAATTTGTACAGATCTTTAAGATGCAAATAGACATTCACTGAATTTTCCCAGAAAATTATCAATGTTAATTGCATTATGTCCAAAATATGCTTGATAATACGACAAAAAATATTGATTCTAACAGTGCTATCACATAATTATGGTAAATAAAGTGGTCACATTTTATCTCCGAACCTGGTTGAAATTGTATTTCAACGGCAGCTCACAAGTTATTGCTTTTTTATGTTCTCGGATGCAAATAAAAATCCACTGCCTCTTCCCCACTCCAAAGTTGTATCCACTCCTCTGCCACTACTCATTTCAAACCAAGTTCTTTGGTCACATGATTCCGATGCCGACCAATACTGACAGCTGAATCTTGCCAGCTAGACTTCCTACCTGAGCATCAAGCTGTTGCTTGTATTTCTGGAGTTCTCCTTTGTCTACAAAGTTCTGCTGAACCAGTGTCTGTAGAAACAGACAACAACAACAAGACTCTTCAATCAAGTTTCAAGTTTGTGAAACAGTCGTGGCTGTCCTGACAAGTAATTTGAACCTTAAACTAACACGTTAATTCATCCCTGATTACATGGTGATGTCATAACGATATGCATATCTAGAACTTAAAATTTACGTTCGTAACAGGTTTCGCGTTGAAACAATGAACCATTTCGAACATTTTTAGATGGAGTTCCATTTAAAAATGTTCACCGCAGACTCAAGCGAAGTAAAGGCCAAACAAAAAATGTTGCACAACCCCAAATCTTTTAGACCCAAAATTAAAATCCAAAAATCCCTTATGGCATTACATTTGTGAGTACATCTGGGAATGAGCGGCTACATTCACAACAGGTTTCAAATTTGCATGTTTTACCGTGTTGAAAAAAGTTGTTGTCCAGAAAAAAGGAACAAAAAAGAAAAGAACAAATAACACAGACAGAATCAATAAGCGA